TACCTGGAGGAAAGGGCTCTAAATTTCTGGTGCTGAATATGAGACTCTGAATCAAAATGCATCTGCTGTATGACCTGCCTGGGAAACCGTGGTGCTGCCCTGGGCCTTGTTCCCCTTTTTAAGGACAGATCGTATTTTACAGACTTTGGTTTGTGCATGGCATGAGTCCAGGCTGAGAACTCACGATGGGTAAACTAAGATGCAGAGTTGTCTCTTCTTTTTTTATATAGGAGGGGATGACTTTTTTTTTTTTCTAAATTGAAGCTGCTTTATCCTTTCTAATTTTGTATTTACAAGAAAAAAAAAAAAAGCTGATCTTAGCTGTTCAGCTCTCTTGGAACCTGCTTTAGGATTGTTCTTTTTAGAAGAAATTATGCAACTTTTTTGGGGTACATGCCCGTTCCCCCTCCCAGGGAGAAGATACGGCACCTTCCAGGATGTACCTCTAGTGAAAAGTTTGTACCTTCACAAGGCTGCTGAGACACAGACCAGATGCCAAATAGTCCCTCCGAACACGTCCAGTTCTGTGTGCAGCTGAAGTGGGGTCAATTGCTTTAATGCTCCTTCCACCCCACTTCAGAAATTCCTAGCAGCAGAATTTTCCCTGGCTTTCTTCTGCTCGCATCATTTCCATGCAATCAGATTTTTATTCTAGAGCAAGCACAGCCTTTGCAACCCTGTCTTGTTGCAAAAGGTCTCCCTTTTAGCTCTCTTATTGGCATTATTTACTACCCCCCCTGTTTTAACTTCTCGCCCCCCCCCCCCCAAAAGGATGTAACTGTGCTGCTCTTGCAAAGACAGTCTAGCTGAAACCTTTTTCTTACCCAAGGAAGAATAACCTGAGATTCCCTAACAGGGCAGAGAAGAGTCGAGTTCAGTTTGCAATGTAGACATTTTTGCTAATTGTGATGTATGGCAGTGGGACTGATTTGTAATACAAATGTTATTTAATCTGTCTGTATTTTGATACTTGAATTTCCTTTTATTTCCTGTATATACAATTGTTAATCTGTTCAAATTTGTCTGAATTTTAAACATCTTGTGGTACCAAACATAACTAATCTGTGCAACAACATAGACTGACCTCACTACAACAAGGCGAGATTGTAAATATTCCTGGGCTTCCAGCAGTCGTTTTGTTGTTTTCATAATTGTACAACTTAGAACAGACTGAATTAATAAACAAACTTAGACACGCATCCGCCCCGTTGTCACTGTGACCTCCGTGTTATATCGAAGTCTCCCAGTCATCGGTGTTAAAGCAGCGCTGTTCTCGTCCTCATCAACCACACCTGACCTGCGAAGGTAAGAGAAAAGGGTGAGGGCAGGTTAATTAGTGCAGTATGCCTGCGCTTCTCTGCTTTGGAAATCTGAGGAACAAGAAAATGTCAGTGTTGTGCAGGGGGCTGGCTGCTGCGCGGTCCCTTTGGCCAAAAGTGCTCTTTTTGCAGTTAGATGACCCCAAATATTGAATATTATTTTGAGACAAACTAATTTATGCCTAAAAATACATCCACGTGACCTACCTCCAGCACAGCAGTCTCCTTGGTGTGTGTTCTCCACGTGATGGTGAGAAAAGCTCCTTTTAACCCCCCTAATATACATCTGACGGATCGTTCCATCGGGGACTGGCAGGACCCTAATTCACTAAAGATAAACACTAAAATCACTTTTCTGCAGCTCGGTAGCAAGTGGTTCATGTAGCAACTGTAACAATTGGGGCTGCCACTGTTTATAGCATTTAGCCAGCAAAGATTTTTGCCATGCCAAGAAGTAGGACATTTTCGTTATGTAAAATTAGAGCAAGAAATCCAGACATTTAAATACAGGTTAAAGTTCAGAGTTTCATGTCAAGGAAAATCTGGCTGATGTCATATACTAAATACACCAGGGATTACTAAATTTATACCATCTGTTCCATTTCTAATAATTCAGTAAGTCAGGGTTTCAAGCTAACATTGAAATATATTGAGCAGTTTTAATTATCTTAAATACCATGTGGCTTTATCAAATGCAAACAGCGTCCCTGGGCTGTGACTAACGTTTCAGCAAAGTAGGTTACAGGCCCACGGCAGAATTAACACCTTGAATTAAAAAAAGTCTAAGCTGCATTGCACTTCCATGAGCTCCACATCCCATTGCCTTCCCCACCAACTAGGTTTTTGGGGAAAAGAGCCGCTACCTTTTGTAGGTGAGGTTTGATCACAGACACTGACATGGCAAGAGTCGCTTCCCAGTAGCAATGCTGACCCCGGTGGATTTGTCTGATTTATTTTTACAAGCTGAAGCATGCTTTGAGAAACTGTTGGAGAATGTGTTCCACCCCTGCCTGGTACATAGTGAAGATGATCAGAAAGAATCCATCCCTATGTCTGTTTCTGCATCTGGGAGAAGCACTTCCTTGGGAATTCCTGAGAAGTAAGGTCCAAGCACCTGCCTGTTGTGGATCACGCTTCCAAACCTGCACCCAACTTCCAGCAGCTCTTCCTGAATGGGATCAAGGCTCTTGGGGAAATCTTTATGAGAATTCTGTCCATCAGGGGAACTGAAAAGGCTGAGGAAGGAATGAATCTGCTGCTCTGTAGGGAGCAAAAGTATGAAAACAAAAAAATAAATCAACAACCAACCTTTGCAAAGAAAGCCAGCTGTGAGACAAAGCCTTTGCTACTCAGACAACAGCAGATCTGAGGACAGCCACATCGTGGCAGGATGTGGACAAGGAATGCTCCAGATCGACTCGGGGACTCGTGGATTAATATATTCCTCTTCCAAATACTACGCAGACTAAACAGCATCCAGCAGAGGAACAGAGGTGAAACTGTGTGACACAAGGAGAGTACTCGAGTGTACTGACCTTGTCACTTTGTCCTGGGTAACTGCTTCTAACGACGGCTATCGCTGGGGTACTGGGCTGAAGGACTTCAGAATGGTCAAATCCATCAAACCTCATGTTAAAGTGGAGGCCAACAGTAGAGATTTTTCACTCTTGAGAGTTTCTGTACTGCACGGAAGTGCCAAGCATCTTAGAAGCATAATGGAATATGGAACTTCAGAGCCCAGGATTTATCTTGCATGCCGCAGCAGCATTTTGAAATGGAAAGCATTCAAGAAGCCTCTCTGAGGAACACAGAGCTGAGATTTAACTACGCAGCTGCTTTAGATGTTCTTGCACTTGAAGGGAGTGTGTGGAAAATGCTGATAGTGGCCAAGACTGCAGGCAAGACAGGGGTTGGATTTTTAGACACGAAGAGGGGGACGGCTGTCTAGGTCTGCAGCTTCTAATGCCACACCATGGGTGAGTCCCTGCCATCACACACTGCCCAGCCTGTAGCTTATCGAGGTTTGGTTGAGGCTATTCAGCCGCCCAAATTACATGAAAACAACATAGCCAGCTCTGACATGGAAAGAATAAAGCCAAATAAACAGTGTGGTGGAGTCCACACGGGCTGGGAAGGATACTTAACTAGATGAAGCAGTGGGCAGGAAGAGCCTCACCTTATTTTCATAGCTGATAAAAGCTTGCCTTCCATGTGGAAATAATCTTTCCTGTAACATACTAGCTGCCTGTGGCACTGCAATCTGATGCAGAGTTAGTGTTCAGAGTACTAATAAAAGGTCAAAATAACCAGCTCTTATCCAAACCATTTGAATAAATATTTTGATGGAGCAGCATTATAGGGCAGCTGGTTAGCTGAATACCAAGCAGTGCACTCCCTAGGGATAAATATTATTTAAAGATCTTAGCATGGTGCTTTATCAGAGCCAGTGATTAAGCTCTTGCTCTCCATCCTCGCCTGAAGATTGCAACACTGCCTCAGCACAAACCTTGCACTTGGGCTTGTTCAGCTTTTAGCAAAGCTGGGAGGATTTAAGAGATTTTTCAAAGCAATTACTGTTTGGGAGCGTTTCAGGGTGGAACAGGAAAATCAAGGCGGCTTCTACACCTAGCTTCCCTGACCCTCCTCGCCTGTGCAGACTCTGTGGAGGAGCCAGACACTGAACTCGTGTCCCACCCTCGAGCAGCAGTTCTGCTCAGTGTGGGGAGTTTACTTTGCTGGCACCCATCCTAGACCTGTCCTGCGCCCTCCAGGGTCGTTAGCCTAAATCCCAGTTGTGGCCTAAGAGTGCAGACTGTCTTCAAGGCTGAGTTGGAGATAAGCTCAGAGACTCACCGATGACGTGCCGGACTGCGTTGCCCTTGTCCGTGATGCTTTTCCTCTGGCCTTTCGGGGAAGCACGCTTGTTGGTGGTAAAAGCAGCGTAACCGAGCTGGGAGAGAGTCCTGCTGACTTCTGGAGCACCTGGTCGCTGCTGTCTTCTAAAGCTTCTTGATGACTGAATCACACAAAAAGGTCCATGCACTACGGCCACTACTCACATTTGTTGGGGAAGGGGTTTGCAGGCACAGAGCAGGAAGGGAAGTCTCTCCAGGTGCCTGTGGAGTGTCATTGCAGCCAGCTAGCACAGCCACAGCTCTGGTGCCTGCTGCAAGTGAACTAAGCTTCCCTGCCCTGCTCTTTGGTGAGCAGGAAGCTGCCCTGCAGCAGACTCGTGAAATAGTGATCAGCACTACTAATTTTCCTCTCTAATCAAGAAGAGACTATTGCTCTAGAGAGTTAACTCCCAGATGAAAATGCTGGCTGGCTTTCCCTGCTCCTTGCAGTAGACCTGGCTGCTGTTTGGATCTCGAATCCTCTTCCACTCCTGGGGGAGATTGCAAAAAACCAGCACCTGCATACTCACTCTTCTTCTGGAAAACTCAACCCACCTGGTACAAGACAGCCCTTGCAAGAGGATCTTTGTCACCCATTTCAGCCTAGCTCCAAACCCAGGTGAGCCGCATGAGGTGCTTCCACACCTGCCAGTGGTCACTAGCGGGACTGCAGCTATGATGATAAGCTGCTGCACCTGCGCTTGTACTTCTGCAGTGGGTCTAGTCCATAAACAGGGGGTGTAGAAGCAGCAGCTGTGGTAACTCAGCAGCTCTCAAGCCATGGAGCAGGGCTGTAACATCCCCATGAAGCTGAGAGGAAGGCAGCTGCCTGGCAGCCAAGAGGTTTAGTTTTTCACCTAGGGAAAAAGCATGTGCAATGACTCGTGGTGTACTGCCTGAATTGCAGCTGGGCAACAGGAGTACGTCTACACTGAAAAAGGTAAGGGAGTTGTAACTCAGAATGCATGAAAGGGTGCTTGGGCCAGAATTCCAAGGCAGTTTCCTCTTAAGCCAGTGTTTTATTGCTGAAGGTCTTGCCAGTCTGTGTAGACCAAGGCAGAATCAGCATCACCCACCTGAGAAGCTGAGCTGGTCTGGAAGGGTTTGCAACCCCTTTGTAATTCCTCATGTCGAGTGGGCACACACAGATGTGTGCCATTGTGCCCCAAGGACATACGTGGTGAGGCTGTGGACATCCAGAGCCCCGTGCTCAGCCCCTGTCTAATCAACTCCTTGTCCACGGCCTCTTCAATCTGTCTCTGCAGTTGGTTGTGCTATGGCGGCAGCAATGACAGCAGGGCCTGCCCAAAGGAGCAGCAGTCTCGCTTTGTTCCAGGAACTCGACGGTTCTCCAGAGTTGCTCAACAGGAATTGAGGCTAGCCTTGTGTCAAGACTAAGCTAACTAATCAGTACACAAATTCTGGGGCACACAACCGCTTTAAGGGAATGCTCGACTCTAGTGACTCACTTCAGGATGTCTGGCTACTCTTTCAAATCTTGCAAAACCTCCTTTACTGTCATGCATGAAAGAAGGGAGTTACCTGTCTGGAGTCTAATGGGAAAGCACAGGCTGAAAAAGCAAACTATATGCAGCTTCACACCCTGCTAAGGTCTTTTAGTGATAAATCATGTTCTTCTTCACTACACTGTATGCTTAAATAGTAGATACAGCTCCTCATGTACCTAAAGAGATGTCTTTGTATAGAGAATTGCAGTTTTTTGTTTGGCAGACGCTATACCAGGAACAGCCTATGGCTGTTACTATAAGCAACACTTCAGACAAAAGCTTTCCATCCTTTTGGTAGATTACGTGTTTTAAAGACCTGGGACCAGAGAATGATTTTCCTTCTCAGACAGGTTTTAGAAGGTGCAGTTGTGTAATTTGTGTCTCACTGCAAACTAAAGGGAGTCTGTTTTCTCCTCCCTCATACACATATTCACATAGGAATATTACACGTAAGGGGTGAGGTGATGATTCAGAGAAGACTAATTCAAAGGTAACCATCTTCTCTGGTCCAGGAACAACTCACCTCTTGTCTCCTGCAGCAGCTGGATTCCCAGTGTAGTCTGGGCAACGAGCAGAGAGCTGTTCCTCCAGGCTCTCCCAGAAGACTTTGTGCAAGGTCTCCTTCACTCTGTTTTGCAGGCTAAGAAAGAAGAGAGGAGGGGAGGGGTTTTCTTTTAACATCAAACACAGCCTCTCAGTCTGAGAGGACTATTCCTCCTGGCTTTCATTGCAGGTCATGTCTTTGGACGTCTTCTCTTAGTCTTTAGTCCTAACTGGCAGCAACACACCTCATCTTTCTCTATCTCATGAAATCTTTCTCAACCTAAATTTTCTAAAGGCAAACTCCTTCCTTTCAAGCCTGTTTATAAAATGCAGCACTTAACCTGTGTTAATGGAGGAGTAAAAAGAGCATAGCATTGTTCCAGGAAATTCTCCAAGCCCTCAGAGAAGATCAACAGAATGTTCTTCTAGCTAGTGCTTGTTTTCACGAGAGATGTCTGTCACTTCAGCAGATCTTCAACTAAAATACAGACACCTCAGAGGAGATCTCCAGTGAGAAGTTTGCTTTGCTGATGTCAAAATCACAGCTTACGCAGCTGAAGCCTCTTAAATCTTTCAATATTAGTGAGTCATATCTGACACTCATTTAAGAACTTCCTAGTAAATCATGAAGCAATGAAAACAAGCTCCAACATTTTTTTCTTTCAGGAGCTGTCTTATTTTCTTGTTATTTCCACAGCCAGATACAAACCCACCTCCTTTCCACATTCTCATGTTTTCTGTAACGTGCCAGAGAGAAGACAAACTTGAATATATACATACACATATACACACACACCTGTTGGGGAGCAGCTGCTCGCAGTCTGGAGCCCCTGGTGAGCACAATTTTGTGCACAACGGTCAGTTTGGAAAGATCCCCAGTTATTTGCTGTGGCTCGTTCATGGAGAGAACTTGTGGAGAAGAATAAAAGTGAAGCAGCGAAGGAACGCAGGGTCTTCTGAGAGAAAAGGGTTTATAAAATTACCAGACAGCTTTTTAAGTGATATTAGTGCAAACATGCAGATACACCTCCATCTCTGGAGGTGCCAAGGGCCCTGCCTCCCCCTCAGCCCCACCC